AATGTGCAATATTAATATGTATCACATTGCAGTTTTGAGATGCCATCATCATTATGCTGAAAACATGCCCTGAAATGCCATGAAAATGTATCTATAATCATCCTTAATGCAGTCCCTCACTACATAGTTAATTTAGCTTGTAATGTACAGTGAGAATATTGGCATTGGCTTGCGGATATGCTTTAAATTGCCCAATTAGTCCAGTCATGTATTCAGTGTGACCAGGCCTCCCTGTAGTGAATCTCAACTCAGGGGATTTGATTTGTGTGTTCGGTGTGCGAGATATTTAATTGGTGTGCATTTTTTAGCAATATTTAAGCTATAATTGCACAGGGATAATTAACTAAATAGCCCTATTATGCACAGGATATTGGTCCAAAGGACTCCAGTGTGCAAAACGTGGCCACACTTGAGTAAAATGTCGTAACACTGCAGTCAGTTCAGGCGTTTCCATTTTGCACAAGAGTCGACTGTTGATTAATATGCCAAATTTCCCCTCTCACACTTCATTACCACGTTCATCTGTACACATTCAGATTGTTTATTTCTCACTAATTAGTAGGTTAATTGGCTCACATTGTCTTCTGCAGCTGGAGTATACCGTATGTCTCTGGAAATTGTGCATCTTCCTCATAAACTATACTCTGACCTACTTGTCCTTCCTCAAATTGTCTTCCTGGATAGAGTGGGCTTTTTCCGCAGGTTCAATTTATGTAGAGATACAGAATCCATTCCCACATTTTCCTACCTTTTTGTTGGAGGAAATTGGCTCCCCATTTTTATATACAGCAGCAGCATGTGAGTGTCATGGTCCTTGAGCTACTGCTATATAATGCAAAAGGAGATGGTGGTATATTTTTATTAGATGGTATCAGTGAAAATCGCTCTTATAAAACTAATGGCGTATTAGAGAGTGACCCTCAGAAACACCCTATTGATTCCATCAGATCAGATGTTATAGCCCTGTCCTTCCATTATTGCATTTGCCTTCACATTACAGCACTTAGGGTTTTTGTTCTCCTTTCATAATGTAAGGAAGGTTCATCATCACTCTTGATAATCATTGGGAAAGAGGACATATGCATGTTTCCATGGCTGCTGAGGCAGATCTGGCCTAGACAGCGTCGACACACGATACATAAAAGCAGCCGGGGCATATAAAACATATAAACCTGGGTGGGGGTGCTTCTGTCTTTTTTCTTTGTTCATCCTCAGCTGTGTTCAGGATCATCTGTCCTCCAAGGAGCTTTGCTTGTTCTCACCCAGGCTAATGAAAGCGATGATGTCATGTACACTTAAAGTCTTTGATAAGAAATCGGTGCATTATCATCATTGTCTAATACTGAAAAAATATAATTTGTTAAGTTGGGAAAATATGATTAAGTATGCAAATGTATGCTTGATGTATAAAATTATTTATGGTTTATCTTCTCCTCCTCTTAGTCAGTTAGTTAGTATTAGAACAACTGATTATCGTTCTACAAGAGGTGCATTAAGAGGAGATTGTATCATACCGCTTAGACGAAGTAATTTTAGTCAGTCTGCTTTTTCTGTTAAAGCTGCACGAGAATGGAATACTATTCCGACAACTATACGAGATCTAGACACATATGCTTTATTTAGGGTTCAGTTGAAGAATTGGTTAATTCATACTCAGATTTGTCAACACTAGAATTTTATATTTGCTAGCTATCCTATTATTGATTGTATCTTGTTTGCATTGTCTTTATTTGATCCCATTGTTTTTTAATAGAATACTGTATGATTTGAACTATGTAATTATAACATTTTTTAGTATGTATTTTTAATTACATTTTATTTTAGGGTGACTTGTAACATCTTGTCCAGGGACTACGGATGTAAAATAGCCTTGGCTAATTCTGGTACATTTACAGGAATGTTTTATTAATGTACAATGTCCCTGTCAACTAAATAAATAAATAAAAAAAATAAAAAATAAATGTTTTGGATGTTGTCACTTCCCATGAATTCGGTAAACGTTGGGGTCCAGTGACTGTTTTTAAAGTATTCAAGCCACATATCCCATATTTTTTTGTTGTGAGAACTATAAGATATTCTTGATAAACTATGATCTAATGTAAAATTAATCTATAGGGTGAAAACTAGCTAGTTTTAAATGCATCAAATATCTGTCCCTCCCCTGAAAATGGTGGTTTTTGCCTCGCCTTACCTCAGAGATCTTTAATTTCCAAACTGTAAAGATGTGACATAATCTGTTGGTTTGATATTCAGCACATTTTAGTAAAACATATTTTAAATGTATTTTAATTACCAACAATATTATTATGCTATTATTGATTGATTTACCCCCGGTTTCACAGACAAGGCTTAAGCCTAGTCCTAGACTAAAATGTAAGTCTGAGCTGTGTCAACTGAAAGAAACTTGCACTGACTGATCTTAAAATATATCAGTGCCTTTGTTTTGTCTCAAGATGCACACCAGTAATGTGTTTTCTAAGGCATGTTTATGAAAAATTACTTAAATGTCCTAATTGAGCTATGGCCTAATCCTGGCTTAGTCTAAGCCCTGTCTGTGAAACCAGGCCATAGTGTTTGTTAGTGAACGTTTGTTGCTAGAAAATTACAAAATTGTCCAAATCCAGAATTAAAACTGTATTTACGCATGTCAGACTTAGTTTCTAACAGGGTTGCAAAAACTGCACAACTCAGAAATGATGTAGAAAATAAAACAGCTCATATAATATTGAGTTTGACCTCCTAAGTTTGGCAATTAATAATTTGTGAAGGTTAAGAGTTTGAGGCCCCATTTTGTACCCTATTTGTGCAGTATATTTCTGTACAACACTTACACAAGACTGCTTCTCTAGGGTGGACATTACAGTTCAGCTCTCTTAATTCATATGACAAATTGTTGTCCCTGTTCTTGGCCTTCTGCATGGAGAGCCGTTTTCTAGGTCTTTATTTTCCTCTTTTTCTCTGAGGAGTAATACCTCAGCTGTCTGCTTGCCGAGTCTCCGGTAATTATTAGCTGTTACGCTGAAACGCAGTGTGTTGGTTGTGACAATAAAAACACGTTTTTCAATGTCTGACATGTGGCTGAATTAATAAAAGCAATGATTTCTTTAAAGTGATTTGCTAAAACGAGACTGGCTCATTATAATTAAACAGGGACAGAAGATTCAGTTGCTTTTTTTGCTATATACAGTGGGTACGGAAAGTATTCAGACCCCCTTAAATTTTTCACTCTTTGTTATATTGCAGCCATTTGCTAAAATCATTTGTTAATTTTTTTTCCTCATTAATGTACACACAGCACCCCATGTTGACAGAAAAACACAGAATTGTTGACATCTTTGCAGATTTATTAAAAAAGAAAAACTGAAAAATGCTCAGTATTTAGTAGAAGCACCCTTTTGATCTAATACAGCCATGAGTCTTTTTGGGAAAGATGCAACAAGTTTTTCACACCTGGACTTGGGGATCCTCTGCCATTCCTCCTTGCAAATCCTCTCCAGTTCTGTCAGGTTGGACGGTAAACGTTGGTGGACAGCCATTTTTAGGTCTCTCCAGAGATGCTCAATTGAGTTTAAGTCAGGGCTCTGGCTGGGCCATTCAAGAACAGTCACAGAGTTGTTGTGAAGCCACTCCTTCGTTATTTTAGCTGTGTGCTTAGGGTCATTGTCTTGTTGGAAGGTAAACCTTCGGCCCAGTCTGAGGTCCTGAGCACTCTGGAGAAGGTTTTCGTCCAGGATATCCCTGTACTTGGCCGCATTCATCTTTCCCTCGATTGCAACCAGTCGTCCTGTCCCTGCAGCTGAAAAACACCCCCACAGCATGATGCTGCCACCACCATGCTTCACTGTTGGGACTGTATTGGACAGGTGCCTGGTTTTCTCCACACATACCGCTTAGAATTAAGGCCAAAAAGTTCTATCTTGGTCTCATCAGACCAGAGAATCTTATTTCTCACCATCTTGGAGTCCTTCAGGTGTTTTTTTAGCAAACTCCATGCGGGCTTTCATGTGTCTTGCACTGAGGAGAGGCTTCCGTCGGGCCACTCTGCCATAAAGCCCCGACTGGTGGAGGGCTGCAGTGATGGTTGACTTTCTACAACTTTCTCCCATCTCCCGACTGCATCTCTGGAGCTCAGCCACAGTGATCTTTGGGTTCTTCTTTACCTCTCTCACCAAGGCTCTTCTCCCCCGATAGCTCAGTTTGGCCGGACGGCCAGCTCTAGGAAGGGTTCTGGTCGTCCCAAACGTCTTCCATTTAAATGTAAGGGGGTCTGAATACTTTCCGTACCCACTGTATATATTGTCAGACTGTGGGCATTTAGCTAGGAACCATCTCTCAAATGAGCTGAATAGAAATGAAATTATCAGTGTATTGCTCTGCGATGTGAGGATTACAACAAATGACTCTGAATATTAAAAGAGATAAATGTGCAAATCTGTTGTCTCTAACAGTGTTAGCGGATCTGAATTGGTTTGTGTTTCAGGCCTAAACAGTGTGTGAGAGGTAGAAAGATAACAGAAAATACATTCAGTCTGTCTTTTATCAGAGTCTGTAGAACCATGAAAGAATCACATAGAACATCGCAAACCATATAGTTTAACGGCTCATAGATTTCACACTAGATTTTTACACTAATAGTTCAATATCTGGCCATTTTATGCTTTTACCAGACTCTACAAACTTGATCGTGACTAGCCTGCTGAAGCCCTTTTCGAAATCACTCCAGAAATATGGTCAAAAAGCTATAAAGTAATATTAAAAAGGCAAAATTCTAAATTCTAGTCGATTTTAATGCAAGTCAAGAACAGAAACTCAATGTTCAAGTCATAACCACAGCCCTCAGACTAGAATCTGATTGGTAAATAAGAATGTTGTTTGTTGTGAAATCGTGATAAGATTGATTTGTATGTGAAGATGCATAAGAATGTTCTCTTAAACATATTGAGATGCAACAGATGAAGATTATTTTCCTTTCTAACGCCCTTCATCCCTGCTTTTCTCAGGCATAATGGCTGACAAAGATAAAGATGTGCCAGTGGTTGAGGATGAAGATGAGCCAGATCTGAACTACCAGCCTCCGGCTCAGAAGAGCCTGCAGGAGATCCAGGAACTGGACAAGGATGATGAAAGCCTGAACAAGTACAAGCAAACCCTCCTGGGTTCTGGACCTGTGGTGGCAGGTTAGTGTACCTTCACTAAAAACCAGGACAATATTTTTGAAACACGCCTACTGTATGTATGTGCACACTATTCATTATATATATATATATTATACAGTTCGTTTTTTTTTTTTGAGAAATAATACTTTTATTCAATAAGGATGCATTAAATTGATCTAAAGTGGCAGTAAAGACATTTGTAATGTAACAAAAGTTTTGTATTTCACATAAATGTTGTTGTTTAAGTTGTTTAAACTTTCTATATATCAAAGAATGCACAAAAAATGTATGATGGTTTCCACAAGAATATTAAGCAGGACAACTGTTTTCAACATTGATGATAATAAAAACATGTTTTCTGAGCACCAAATCAGCATATAAGGATTAGACATTCTTGCTGAAAAGTCAACTTTGCAATCACAGAAATAAATGACATTTTAAAATATATTTGAATAGAAAAAAATTTAATTGCAATAATATTTTACTGTATTTTTTAACAAATGCGGCCTTGGTAGCACAAGAGATGTCAAACAAACAAACAAATACATAAATAAATAATTGCAAAAGAAATGTGCCAGTGAGCAGTTGATAACATTTTTAGTGGATCACAGTCTCACCAAACAACAAAATGATTAGAATCTTACTGATATTTGACCCACATTTATAGAGGCGCACAAATAATGAATGTTTCAGAGAGTCTCATCTTCTGAAGATTGCATTGTCTTCATGTTTAAAGCTGTAACTCGGCTCTCCAGGGACGGCTCTCCCTTCTCCTCCTGCTGTCTAGACTGATTCAGTCCCCCCGAGGGACTCCAGTATTGGTTCAAAGCCCCCAAACAATATCCTCTTAACTCAGAGAAAGAAGGAGAAGGTGGCTATCACTTAGTCTGAAGAGCATGGCTTTGAACTGCTTTGTTGTTTAGAAAAACATGAATTATAATTCCACTCACTGCGTAACGCTGGATAATTTGCACTTGATATTCTGTCCCGCTGTACAATGCATTAATTATAAGATCAGTTATTGTATTTCTCGCTCAGTTATTGAGTGAAATAGCTTTGTTTCTTTTCTGTTTCCCTTCATGAAGAATTATTTCTGTGATATTATGATCAAAGCCCAGCAATCCTAATTTCTTTTACCACAGGGAAAATCCAAATATACACTTTAAATCCTTTAAGTGTGAACTGGAAATACTTGCTGATACAGTGTTGCTAAAGGCATAAAAGGCAGATTAATTTCCTCTTGACTCATAGGGGTTTAGAACGTTTGATTTAGATGCAATTTAATTTTCTGTTGAGAATCAATCAGCTGTGGTAATTTCTTTCCTCTGTTTTTCATTCGAATGCAATTTGTGTGCCAAGGGTATTTACCTTGTGAGTCCTCTGATTCATAAATGATTCATCTTTGTTTTGTTGGTTATGGCCAGGTTAATAATAGCCTTCTTTCAATATGCTGGAATGGAAATGGCAGCTTGTGCTGGTGTTTTATAGCGTTTTGTGTTTCAGTGTAATGACCGAAAGATCTGCTTACAGAGATCATCATGACTAGTCAGACCAAAAAGTACATCATCTTTTGTCTCTGAGGACTATGATACAAACCCTTTCTTATGTCCTCATTTGCTATATTGTGTATGGAATGAAAATTGTGTCATAATTTGCTCACCCTCATGTCATTCCAAACCTGTATGTTAAGATTGGTGTTATTTTAGTCATATTTATATATATTTTTTTATTCAATCCAATTTAATTACATTTTATTATCAGTTTTCATTTTAATTTTTGGTTTAAGCTTGCTTTTGTCATTTTTTTAAATATTAATCTTTAGTTTAATTTATTATTATTTCTTTTTTAGTTCATAAATGTATCCAGTTAGTACTTTAGTTACCAAGACAACATTTCTAATTGTAATAATCTAATAATAATGAACAGTACATTATTAAGAAAATTCTCCTGTTGCTCCACGGAGGAAAAAATATGGGTAAATGATAGCCGATTTTTCATTTTTGCTGAACTAACCCCCTCACTGGGACTGAAAACACTGGAAATATGAAGCAGATTTGTCTTGACGTCCATTAATTTGCCATAAGATTTCCTGAGATATAATAGCGGGATTGTGCCAGGGTGATCAGTCATGTTTGGTGCGTGCGGTCCCCGGTGCACAGTTTAGCGAGTGAGCATGCCTGCGGCGGGTAGTGCCACTTGTAGCCATCAGCAGATGATTAACTGTAGTTCCCACTTTTAAAACCAGCCCACCCTGCATCAATAACACTGCATCAATGAGACCCGTCCAACAATTTGTCATGTGCAGTTTTACACCGCTAACTCCCTCTTGGCAGTGCAGAAACAATCATTCAGTGGAACAGTAGAGTTAGGTGCCTAATTTAAGCTAGTCACCTGCCCCGCGTGCTTCACGGGACAACTTCTTCGAAGTATGGAAGCTCACACATCAAACCTTCACTCTCATATTGTTTCCCAGAGTTTTAAATGCCACTTTTTACATCACACAAGGCCATTGTATGCCTTCAGAAGACTTGAAATATAGCATATGAACCGCTTTTATAGTGCTTTTGTGGTGCTTTTTGGGTGTTCTTTTGTCCCTTTATGGAGCTTGACAGACATAGTCACAATGCACTATTGTTGTATTCAGATTCAGAAATTCTCCTTTTATGTTCCATTGAATAACAGCATACAGGTTTGGAATGACATGAGGGTGACTAAATAATGACTGAATTTTCGTTTTGAGGTGAGCTGTACCTTTAAGGGGTGGGGCAGCTGCAGCTCTATCACAGTTAAATGTGCTGAGGCTGCATGCTGGGGTCACTAACCTGCAGCAGCTCTGTGTCCACCTAAACCCTGACAGGCCCGATCTATTTCTGTAATGGGCGGCGCTCCTATGGACGCAAGAAACTAGGGAGGGAATGCATGGCGGTTCATTAGCAACACTGACTGACAATACTTTAAATGCCTCCTTATCTCATAATGAAGGTAATTATGTTTGTGAAAGACACCGTAGCTCTGTTCCATAACCTAGTGAGCTGCATTTTAAAGAAGCGTTGGTGCGTTCCTGATTCAAAGGCTGTTGCAAAAATAGGCAACTTAATTATGCTGCCTTTTAAGATGAAATTTTTGCCCCAAAAGGCACCATTGCAGAAAAGGCAGTTACAGAATGTATAGCAACAAGTTCAGTGAAAAATCTGGTCAAAGATTGCAGATAAATAATGAAAATGAATTTAATAATACTGCACAATTTTTTTTCTGTTCCTAAAAGTATTAATAAAAATAGTTCAGTGTTATTAAAAATGGTTCATTTAACCAATATTTTTGCTGTATAGTTTTATGCTTAAAGTATCTTCTAATTAGCTTAGCAATATGCTAATGTCATACTGTTGAAATCAGTTTTACCCAATATTTGTGTGCATTTTATGAGAAATCAGAGTATCGTTCCGTTAGCTTAGGTCCATGCTAATGTCACTCTCTATTGAAATCAGTTTTACCCAATATTTGTGTGTATTTTTTATGTATTTTCTTGAGTAATTAATTGTCCCGTTAGCTTTGCAACATGCTAACATCATACAGCTAAAATCAATTTTACCCAATATTTGTGCATATTTTTGAGTGATCAGAGTATAATTATGTTAGCTTAGCAACATGCTAATGTCAATCTCTAGCCATTGAAATAAGTTTTACCCCATATTTGTGTGTATTTTTTATATGTATTTTCTTGAGTAATTATTTGTCCCGTTAGCTTAGCAACATGCTAACATCATACGGTTAAAATCTATTTTACCCAGTATTTGTGCGTATTTTTGAGTAATCAGAATTTCGTTCCATTAGCTTAGCACCATGCTAATATCAATCTCTATTGAAATCAGGTTTATCCAATATTTGTATTTTTTAAATGCATTTTTATTAATTATTAGACTATCATCCGTTAGCATAATAACATGCTCAATTGTCAGTTATGAGTCATGTTTCCTGTGTGCTGTGTAGAGTGTTCAAAATCTATCCATGACCATTAGGATGCTGTCCGTGTTGGCTGTAGGAATTAAGTCAGCTCACTCGGATTTGGAACACAGCTTTTCATAGACGACAGATGAAACAAAGGAAATGAGTGTGAATTGTATGGCTGGAGAGAGCTGTCTTTCCACAAACCTGAATTGATGATGTTCATGTGCACATATCTGAGATTATTAATGTGTCTTATTTACACACTGACTGGTCAGTTCATTGCAAGTGCACATGGTGGCCTTTTTTTCGCCTTCCCACTTTCACTCAATTTAGTCTAGTCTAAGTGTCTTCCCTCTGGTCTGATACACATGATGAATGTGTGGATGAATCGGCTTGGAAGATTGACTGGGCCAGTAATGCTGGATAGGCAGGATTCGCAAGAATGGACAGATTCTGGTGTTTTTCTCAGCCAGACTTGCAGTGCTACTGACAAGAATGATAACTCAAATTGTGCGGAAGATGTGTGCTATTACTGTTCTAAGCAATCAGACTTGCAGTTTTTACCTGACAGACAATAAAATGGGCAAGAAAATCATGCAGACTTAAAATGAAAGAGAATCCTGAGTCATGTCAAAGGATCAGAATACCTTTGAGATTTAAAGTAGGCACTTTTGACTTTTGCCAGTAGGCAACCACCCTAAAAACACCCTAGCATTATATAGCACTGTGTTAAAATCACTCAGAACAATTTAGCAACTACATACAATTGTTATTTAACCAGAAATTAAATTATTACATCCAGTAAACACTCACAGTCGAACTGCTGAAATGAAATCAACATGCTAATGTCAAACTTATTTTTTTATTCACTACAGGAAAAAGGCTACTCTGATGAATAAGTTAGCTTATCCTACAGTACAGGTACCAAATGTAGAGCAGAATGTTTTTTCAGTTTCTCATCTGTTTTATTCATTGCATTGTAGATCCCAGCATTCCTAATGTTCAGGTGACCCGACTCACTCTGATGTGTGACCAGGCCCCTGGACCCATCACCATGGACCTGACAGGTGAGTCTCACCAGAACAATTATTCAACAAGTGCTTTATAATTCACGCATAATCCAGTTCAATGAGGGCTGACTATCACTTAAAAATATAATTGACTTCAGATTTATCAAATATACAAATACTGACTGTGACAGTCCCTTGAATGGGATTGTTGTATTTGTTTTGCTTTAATAGATTATTTTTTATTATTTTACACACAGTATTTTTAATATAATTGATTGTACTAAAAAAATACTACATTGGCCAGTGTTATTTTAGTACTACTTATATATTTAGTATTTAGAAATAGCTTTTATTTTTGTATTTTCAGTTTTCATGTTAATTTTAGTTAATGTTTTAGTACATTTGTTTGTGATTTTTGTCATTTGTTTTTACTTTAATAGATTATTTTTTATTATTTTACACACAGTATTTTTAATATTATTAATTGTACTAAAGTAATACTGCATTGACCAGTGTTATTTTAGCATTACTTATATACCATTTAGTATTAATTAATATTTTAAAATAGCATTTATTTTTGCATATGCAGTTTTCATTTTCATTTTGGTTAATGCTTTAGTAAATTTGTTATGTGATTTTGTCATTTGTTTTACTTTAATACAGTATTTTTTCTTATTGTACACACAATATTTTTGATATTATTAATTGTACTAAAGTAATTGACCGGTGTTATTTTAGTATTGCATAATATACCATTTAGTATTTATTAATATTTTGAAATAGCTTTTGTTTTTGCATTTTCAGTTTTCATCTTAATTTTACTTAATGGTTTAGTAAATTTGTGTGATTTTGTCATTTTTAGTAGTTTTCTTTGTGTTTTTAGAAATATTTCTATATAGCTTTAATTGATTTTTATTTCAGTTTAGTTTTAGTAATTTTAGTACTTAAAATTATTTCATTTGGTTGCAAAGGCAGCATTTCTAATTTTAGTTTTTTCATCTAATGTGTATATTTTATTACATTTCAGCTGTATTTCAAACAAAGAAATCAAATCAATTCAAATGAAAATGATTTGTAATAGTTCAATTAATATTTCAAATCCATAGCATCCAGTTTGCATTATTTGCATGATTAGTATTCGCAGGATAATAGTCGTGTGGGTTGAGGTAAGTGGGTTGAATCTGCGGTCTCTATTGTCCACACAAAGGCTTCTGGTCAAGAGCTGGAAGGGCATGTGCTTAGTTGACACTATTGACAGAGGCGCAGCAGCTCTGCACTGCATTCTAATGCTTCACCTCCCCTGCCTTCAGAGGGATGATGTCATTCCTTCCCCTGCCAGCCAACATCACGCAAGCAGATCTGCAACACAAATCAACGTACACTGCTGCATGTAGCCACGTCCCGCCTCGATACACTGGAGGGGCCTGTCGGGTCTTTTGACGGTCAGAGCAGGTTTCTGCCGCCCTCCTTTGCCCTCAGCCGGTTCAACAGTGTGTTTCTCTCTTTAACAACGGGAGCACGGCAAAAGGGCACCTGGTTGCTAGGCAATGGGATGATTCTGGGCTGTTTAAGTCAGAGCTTTAAAGTAAGAAGAAGACCTTTTCAGATATCAAATCTGTAACTATCATTCACAGCGTAAAGAACCTATGCACCAGCACGTTTCCTCTTTTAGAACAAAACCAGAAGTGACTCTGCGGTTTGAGTTGGTACAGGAAGGCGTTGCCCTTCTAACATAGAGTACATTGTTGCGCTTTTGTGTGTGCACTTCCTGTTTAGCAACTTTTATTCTTAAATTACCTCTGCCCTGACAGAAGGGGAACAAAACGCACTTAATTTCTTCATTGGCTCCCTGACGGCTGGATAGATGGTCAATTTAGCTAACCATGTAAGACAGTTTTTTGTTTTTTTTTAAAGAAATTGGTGAACGTAAGATTCTTCCTTTTAAAAAGTATTACTCCAAAAGTTTGAATGGTAGTAATTTTTTTAATAGGTTTTGCACTGAACTTCTGTGCTACAGCTATAAATTCACCTTAATCTTTACATATAGAAAAAACAGTTTTTACTGTACAAGAAACTGCAGACAAACATCATAAAATCTCGCTCCATAGTCTGAGCTGTAAGCAGGAGCACATTAGCGATCTGTGATCCAGGAGTCCTGCTGTAAGTGACGGCCGAGCGTGGCACCTCATGGCGGGACGTCCGCTGGGATGGAACATGCTAACCAGACTGAGTTTTTGATGGATGTGGCTGGGCTGACACGCGGTGGAAGAGAAAGACTGTGAGAGTTAGTGGTGGATGAAGGTGGGGAGCAGAACCTGACTGCACTCCAGAAAAGCACTCAGCGTGACAGCAGAAGTTCTGCTCTGCTGACGTTCAGATTAGAGCAGCAGGAAGCCAGACCTTATCACAGCGCTCTTAATTGAATCCGAATAGTGAGTCCACATCTAAGCAGTTGAATATCTTGCGGTGTTTGTCGCATCCTTTCTGAGAGAAATGTGAATAAAGTACAGAGGATGCACTCTTAAAGGAATCATTCACTCTAAAAATTTAAATTAGCTGAAAATGTAATCACCCTCAGGTCATCCAAAATATAGATGCCACCTATGTTCACCTATGTTCTTCATCAGAACAGATCTGGAGAAATTTTGCATTATCACTTGCTCGCCAGTGTCTTAGAGCAGCAGGAAGCCAGACCTTATCACGGCGCTCTTAATTGAATCCGAATAGTGAGTCCACATCTAAGCAGTTGAATATCTTGTGGTGTTTGTCGCATCCTTTCTGAGAGAAATGTGAATAAAGTACAGAGGATGCACTCTTAAAGGAATCATTCACTCTAAAAATTTAAATTAGCTGAAAATGTAATCACCCTCAGGTCATCCAAAATATAGATGCCACCTATGTTCACCTATGTTCTTCATCAGAACAGATCTGGAGAAATTTTGCATTATCACTTGCTCGCCAGTGTCTTGTGAAGCAAAAAGTTGCATGTTTGAAAGAAACAAATCCATCATTAAAGGGATAGTTCACTCAAAAATGAAAATCCTGTCATTAATTAATGTCGTTCCAAACCTGTAAGACCTTCGTTCATTTTCGGAACACAAATTAAGATATTATTAGGTATATTACAATTGAGATATTTTTGATGAAATCCAGGAGCTTTCTGATCCTGCATAGACAGCAACACAACTACCATGTTGAAGGCCCAGAAAGGTAGTAAAGACATCATAAAATAGTCCATGTGACATCAGGGGTTCAACCATAATTTTATGAATATTTTAACGATGTTCTTACTACCTTTCTGGACCTTGAAGGTGGTAGTTCTGTTGCTGTCAGATTTCATCAAAAATCTTAAAAGTATCTTAATTTGTGCTCAGAAGATGAACGAAGGTCTTACAGGTTTGGGACGACATGAGGGTGAGTAATTAATGACAGAATTTTCATTTTTGGGTGAAAATTGATCATAAAAATAGAATGTCTGCACACCTCGGCTCCAAAAATACAAAAATGTATGTATTATGTATCTATGTGATAGTCTGTTTTAAAATGTTTTGTATTTTTTGGAGCCTAGGTGTGCCGACTTTTTTCTATTTTTCTATTTTAAACCAGAAACAATGGTTTTGAAGTTATTACAAACATGCAGCTTTTCAATTCGCAAAATGTTAACTGATGAACTGGAGTCATGTGCGTTACTTGTGGATTATTGTGATGTTTTTATCAGCTGTTTGAACTCTCATTCTGACGGCACCCATTCACTGCAGTGTTTCTATTGGTGGATAAGTGATGTAAAGTGAAATTTCTGCAAATCTGTTCTGTAAATTTTAAGTAAATTAAAATTTTTAGGTGAACACTGTTGACTTTTTATCTGGGCTGCTTTGGGTTTGGGTCTTATTATGAGCTGTCCTGTGCAAATATAAATGAATGAGCTATTTGGCAGTTACACCGATGTCAGTTCACATTTATATGGATGTGAAAAGATTTATTTAGAAATTCAGAACTGTTTTGTCCTTTCTTGGCAATGCAGGAAATGGATCTTTTAGTAAAGCATGATTCAGTGTGTTATGTTGATGGTGTGTTGAACGCTGCAGCAGTGGGAGTGCGGGTGGAACGGGGCGCTCGCATTCTCGCCTCGTGCCAGATTGCAGCTCCTCCAGACTGCTAGAGCCTCCGCTGGGATCTTCCTTATTATCCATCTCCATCTATGCTCTCTCACTGCTGCTGTGTGGGAGTCATACAAACGGCATACCAACTACAACTTCAGCAAATTGTGTTCAAAACCAACACTCCTGAATCTTTAAGCACAGGGAGAGAATGAACACATATCTCCCTCATGAACATTCTCCTGTTCACACAGTTACAGTTGTTTGCTAAATGAAAAGTAAACACCTCTGAAAATGGCTTTAGGTTTATGCTAATTGTTCAGAAATACTTGACATACAGGTTGGCCACATTGAAAGTCAAAATGTAATTTAAACCTGTGAATGAACAGAAAGGTTTGTTTGTTTTTGTTTTTAAAAAACAATATACACATTACAGTTCAAATGATTGCAGTCAGTAATTTTTTGGTTGAAATTAATACTTTTACTCAGTAAAGGTGTATTTAATTGATTAAAATGGACAGTAAAGACTTTTGTGTTTATTTATATATATATATATATATATATATATATATATATATATATAAACAAAATATTTTTATTTCAAATAATGCTGTTCAAATAAACTTTGTTCATTAAAAAAATAAAAATCCACAAAAATTTTGAGTAGCAAATCTCTTTTCAAATATGGTATTAATAATAAATGTTTCTTAAGCACAAAATCAGGATATTAGAATGAGTAACGGCTGCTGAAAATTCAGCTTTACCATAACAGGAATAAATTACATTTTAAAATATATTCAAATAGAAAACCGTTATTTTAAATTACATTAATATTTCACAATATTAGTGTTTTTATTGTATTTTTGATCAAGTAAATATATTGATGAGTCTTATTTCAAAAACTTACCCCAAATGTTGACCCCAAACTTTTGAACAGTAGTGTATATGTGTGTGTGTGTGTGTGTGTGTGTGTGTGTAATATGGACAGACAGATCTAGTTTAGATGTTAGTGGAGCTAATAATCACCATGTCATAAGGAGATCACACACGCCACGATTCAATGCTCACTGTCGCAGATACATACTAATCCTCTTGTCCAATCAGGATTATGTTATTACAGTGATTATCAGTGCTAGATTTAGTCAATTACAGATAAGGGATTTCATCTTTGTGATGTAAAAAAAGGTTTTGAGAGGGCAGGATGCTGCTTCTGTTATATTAATAGCAACATCGCATGTCGGCACATGCAAAGGGTCGACTTCAAGATGGAGAATCTCCAAGCCCAGATCCAGTTCCATCAGATGATATAAAGCCTCTACAGTCTAAAAATAGTATTAACGTTGAGATGTGGAGCACAGGACACTAATGAACACAGTCTGGCATTTGGCATCATGTGAATAGCCCACAAATCATCATTGATGTTGTTCATTGTATCAATCTCCGATTTCTCCTTCCTCCCCCGTCTCTTTCAGTATCCATTACAAAGCACTTAGGGCAGATTCAAGGGATAAATTGATAACGCAGCAGTTGCACTTTTGTAAGGAAGCTCTTTGCATTGAACTCAGTTGAACTACAAGCAGAAGGATGCGACCTGCAACATAAGAGGCTCACATTTACAATTCTGATATTGATTTCTGCTGTATTTCTTTAAAAATATATGATTATAACTATGTTAAATTGCAGTTAATTTCACTCTGGCTGATGTAAATAAACTTTTTTTTTTAACATAGGTGACCTCGATGCTTTGAAGAAGAAGAACTTCACCATGAAGGAGGGAGTGGACTACAGGGTGAAAATCCACTTCAAGGTGAATATAAATCAGATTCCTGTCATAAAACAGTCTGCAGTGATGGTTGGTCATTCTTTTATACTGTGGCCTAAAAATACTGTTGTGTATTTTTAGCTTAAAATCTAAAGTGGATCGATTGTTTATTTCCTGTCTTGACCGGGCCAGTGCTATGAACAGCATACAGAAATACACACAGGCACCCTTTCCCAGGCTAAAGTTTCCTAAAAATAATACACTTGAAATATTTGTAAACAGATCGGGGTACAATGTAAGCAGAAAATTAGTTTATGTGGGGTTTTTTGGGCTTCAAAATATAAGTGATGTTGAAATGTTTTGTGTTTTGTAACAGTTTCCCCAAGAACATTTAAAGGGGTCATATGATGCGATTTCAATTTTTCCTTTCTCTTTGGAGTGTTACAAGCTCTTGGTGCATAAAGAAGATCTGTAAAGTTGCAAAGACTAAAGTCTCAAATCCAAAGAGATATTCTTTATAAAAGTTAAGAGTCAGCCAAGCCTACCTAAAACGGCTCGTTCTAACACACCCCACATGTCTACGTCACGATGTGAGAAGATTTGATAATGTGTTTTTTAACCTTAAACCGCATAAACACATTTCATTACACCAAATACACAAAATAATGTTCTTTTTAGCAACATCATATGACCCCTTTAATTAAAATGGTATCTAAAGTCTCTTTATTTCACTGTGAGTCACACCAGATCATATTCCTGCAAAATACCATTATTCACAAAATCCCTTTTGGATCCAGCAACTCAACAATATCTTTCTAGCCCATGATTCATCAGGATTTGATGCAGCTTCACACAGAAGATAAAAGAGCTTTATAGTTCATGCTCAAATATACTAAAATAGACAGTATCTGTATTTCAATGTATGGGTATTCCCTAAAAGGGAATGGAAAATGGAGTGAATTCCTAAAGGATCTAACAGGACCTCTGCTGGTGCTACAACAGGTTGAATGTCTTGAGAATGAAAATGACATGCTAAATTAATAATATTTATTCTAATTCATTCCATCTGTTCCCATTAGGTCAACAGGGACATCGTGTCTGGACTGAAATATGTGCATCTGAACTACAGGAAAGGACTCAGAGGTAAGAGCATCTGTAGTCATGAATTTAAATGTTGGCATGTTGAGTCAAGGGTGTATTGATATCTTTATACACACATGTACTGTTTCATATGACACATCAATTTCTTTATTTAAACGTAAAAATGGTAATACATTTTTTTAATATATATAAATATGCATATTTAAAACAGTTTATTTAATTCATGTTTAAAAAATATAAAATTAGTGAATAATTTTATTGATTTATTTTATTTTATTGAAAAAATAAGAGACATTTCAAATGTTTGTTGTTAATGTAGTTAAAGCTGCAGTCCATAACTTTTTTCCGTTTAAAAATGATCCGAAATCAATATTTGAGCAAGTACATAACCAGCCAGTGTTCAAAACTATCACCTTACTTTAGCCCGATTCACAACGGTTAGTTTATAACAATGTTTTCTAATTTGAGTGGTACGGGTAGGTTTTCGCGGGAAATTCGAGCATGGCACTGCGTCATTACGTCACGTCTGAAAACAAAATTGTAATGAAAAATGAAAAATTATTATTATTCATCTTGTTATTATTATTAATATTATTATTAAATTATTAAACATAAAAAAATTAATTACTAGTTACTTTTCTTTGTCCAGTTGCCAATTGCTTTTCTTTGTCATTCTGTCAAATTCATTATTTTAACCTTTTAACAATCAACTTAAAAATGCCATTGGACAGGCTATTGTTGGGTGCAACCAATCAGCTTTTGATGTATTTTTTAAGAATTTGACTCACTGATTTTCTTTACCTCTAGTGGACAAGGCAGTGTACATGGTGGGCAGCTACGGTCCGAGAGCCGAGGAGCATGAGTTTATCACCCCGGTGGAGGAGGCTCCGAAGGGCATGATCGTTCGGGGAACCTACCACATCAAATCCTACTTCACAGACGACGACAAGACAGACCATCTGTCGTGGGAGTGGAACCTGCAAATCAAAAAAGACTGGGACAGTGCAGAGTAAAGAGGTCTTCCTCTGTCTCTCTCTCCCAGATGCATAGCAACATACCCAATTTATCACTGATGTTTAAAACAGAGACATAGGCTAGGTAGATATGGTTTTGCTGGCTTTGCAAATGATTAAATAACAATTAGTCGAATAAAAAAAAAACTTAAAAAAAAGAATGAAGATATTCCTACATATTAGGTGTAAGTAACAGTGAGGGCATACAGTGACTGGCAGGGTATTAGAGGCGACTTAGTACTTTGTAATAGATTTAACAATGGTGTAACCAACAAATGAAATCCGTCATGCCTGTACACTCAGGTTTTAGTGTATACTGTAAATGTAAATATTACAATGTCTGTATTCTTGCAATGCATTTAGAGTTCTTTACAGAGCCCATGACCAGATCAGTGCATGCTTGAATGTGAAGCCATCGTGTCTGCAATGGCTAATTTCTTGTATTATTGATGATGTAATCAGCTTGCTGTTACCTGATAAATACATGTGTAGGACGTGGTTTGTACTAAGTGTTGCTTGTCAAAAAAGGTATTTCTGAGCATTAAACCTCTGTAGAAAAGATCAACTGAAACCAATATGAAGTTGTCTGGCTGTTCACCAGCAACCAATTCTGGTAAAGCTGCTTCACTTTTCTTGTTGGTTAGTCCTGACTGGCACATCAGCTTCTAAAATGCAACATTTGCTGGTCTTTTCAGCTGGGAACCATCAGTGGAGCCCATAGTCAAGCACCCTCCTCATTCCCTGAAAAAATTTAAGATCTGTTCATCTCTGTCCAGGTGTCTGTAACTGTCTTCCATCTAGCTTTTATGTTAGATTGCCTCTGATTTTTTTTTTTTTGATATTCCAAAATAAATACATTTATTGTTTATATGCCTGCTGATACTGTTACCTGACACTTCCATCTCCATCGCTGATTTTATTATCTGACATAAGATTATCTTGATTTTTCTTGAATAATTCCCTACTACATGATCATATTCAGAAATATTAGATGATACTGCAGAATATTCAAAATACTCTGTGGAAATGATTGGGTTTGACTATTTCTACAGAATAAAATTTATTGCAAAAAGGTAATTAATGCCACAGGAAATATCTAACTGGCATGTGCATTATGTAATGCCTTTATGGGGTAGACAAATACTGAATCATTAACTGTGAGCAATAGGAAGAAAAATACGAGAGTACACAAAAGATTAACTGCAATTTTTATGAACTGTAATTTATAACTTTGTGATTCCACAGTCAGTATAACATGTATTTGATCAAATTAAATCCTTGCAATATTTCAAAATATTCCCACATGCTGTATATTTTCTCAAATTCATATTGTGACTCATAATGAAATTTTCTTCATAATTGGATGTTATAATTAGTCTGCTTGTGGTCTGTATTGCATGATGCTGCTTTTTAAACATGTTAATCGGGTTTCATTGTGATGTAATGGAGGCAGCAGTAAGAAGTAAAGTAACATTTAGGGCATTTTTCAGCTGACCGATTCATTTGCTTAAAAAAAGATTCTATTGCTTCTGAATTGTTAAACTTTTCATCTTGTATTTTTAATAAAGTTTGGCCTATCCTTAATTGTATATCTTGTTTCTAATGTTGTAGTTTAGTTCAGCTTATGTTTATTAGATGCAAAACAGCACATAGCAGTAATGGCTGGCAATGGAAAAAGTTATTTCTGTTCGCTGCAAACAAAACAGAAACGGAAATAAAAAAGTTTCAAGGAAAAGTTCATATTTGTTCACTAACACATGATAAGACGAACCACAGAAGCAGGGTTGCCAGGTTTTCACAACAAAACCCGCCCAATCTCTACTCAAAACTAGCCCAGTGGCTTTCGAGGTGGGTCCCCCGTTAAAAATCGCATTCCGGGGATAAAATACACGTGTTTTGGCGGATTTCCCCTGGTAAAATTCGCCTTCCATGGGCTAACTATCACGTTATTGGGGTCGTTTTTCAACCCGCGGACATGAAAAACAACCCGCGGCAACAGTGTTAAAGTAGCCCAATTCCGCGGGAAAACCGCAGACTTGGCAACACCGCACAGAAGAGAGCAACATGCATTTTGTTATATCCTATCGCTTCACTTGAGTCTGCCACATGTACCGCCTTTCAAGAATGTAAATTGCCCAATCACAATCAACTATGTTAGGTACAGCTTTGGTGATTGGCTCTCTGAATGATTGACGTAATCACCAGCCACACGATGTTACTGTCTGCAAGCCACAGTGTTGCCATGTCCTCCTTTTAAAGCGTCTTTAGATTTGTGTTAATTCATGAAATATCATGCTAATAAAAATATACAGTCGCAGTGAAGAATTTTATACACCTATTTTTAAATAAACGTATTTAAAATTAATTTATCTAATTTATTTGCAGAAAATGTTGCCTTGTTTTGTGGAAAGTCACGTATTTTGATAATGTTTTGTCAGTGTAGTTTACCTGTTTTTCTACAGAGATCTGGCAACACGTGTAAGCGGTGAAGTTTAGCGATTTAGCATTATCCTTTCAGCTGGCAAGATGGCATCAGTATTAAGACACTCTACCAAATTCGGCCCGTCTGGTAGGTGTGTCATGTCTTGTCTGAAACCGTTGCTGTTTTTGCTATTTTGCAGTGGCCATTTTCCCCCCACCCCGAATTAAGTTTGCAGTAGTAATGCATTGAGGAAATAGGACAAAGGTCAGCAGATACAAAAGAGTTGTTTACGCCTTCCTGTCATTTTTAAAGCAGAAAATCAACATATTATGACACATATTATGTTAGTTTTTTGTTTTTATTGTTATGGGTTGTAAAAAGTAAGAAGTTAACACCATGTCCTTTAATAAGGGCACAGCTTATTCACACATGAAATACAACACTGCTCTTGCGTAACGTTAGTACAGTATTTACTGAAGTGTAATCAATAGTCAAATAAATGCACGTGTTAACAGTGTTAAATGCACTGTGTTGGCTTTTAGTTTTACATTTGCAAAATATTAGGAATTTCTCTTGCAGGATTTGTATCACTGTTGTCTGGAAAAAGCCGTCATGGGAGAATCTGTGCTCTGCCATACATTGTATCTAAAAACAGATACTCATCATCCTCAAACATTAAAGTCGACCTGGACAGTAGTAATGGTAAGCATATTAATACATAATATGCATAAATAATGGGGTTTCCAACACTTTGCAATTACATATTTATCAAAAAATCATTACCAGAATATAAATTTTCCTCTTTCTTACAGGTGTTGCTATAATGCAGTTCCAAAATCATCCTGTCAACAGTCTCAGTCTTGACTTTCTGACTGAGTTTGCTATTAATTTAGAAAAACTTGAGCTGGACAGAAGCTGCAGGGGTATGATCATAACATCCGTAAGTCATCAGAAACATCTGCTTTAGTGAAATCAAGTGTAGTCTATTTCATTGACAGTGTGTTTTTTTGTTAAAGGCCCAGCCGAAGGTGTTTTCTGCAGGCCTAGATATTTTGGAAATGTATAAAAAGAGCCCAGAGCACTGCGCAGAATTCTGGAAGGCTGTACAGGACGCGTGGCTTAAGCTTTACGGGTCCACCAAGGTCACAATCGCAGCTATCAATGTGAGTGTCACTATAAACACTTTTTACTGTTTTCTGATAATTGTCTTTTTTTGTAAAATATTACTTTAAGGTCAAATTGTGAGATGAATGAATGAATGAATGATGTAACTGCTGTGTTTTTAGGGCTCCAGTCCTGCAGGTGGCTGTTTGTTGGCTTTGTGTTGTGACTACAGGATCATGGCCGATAATCCTCGCTATAACATCGGTCTCAATGAAACACAACTTGGCATAGTTGCACCTTTTTGGTGAGTATTATTGATTTTTTTTTTTTATCTTGTTTTATTCACAATTCATGTACGTGGGAACCACAAGTTGTATTTACTCAAATAATCCATTAGTAATCAGATTGATGGCTCAATCAGATTGAAAAGCCTTCATGTAAACACCTCAACTGATCTGACTGAGTTTGATCCAGATGAATTTGTGGTGTAGACCTGAAATAATCCAATCAATAGGAAAAAACACAAGCATACAACTATCTTCCCAATTGGACTCAAAAATACTTTGTGATGTGCGTGTTCTACCAGACTACTTTTATAATATTCCTTTGTAAATGAAAATGTGGATCGAATTGTCAAGTTTAGGGTTCATGTAAACAGAACTTTCAGATTTTTTACATGGATTGACAAAAATGAGTGCGTGTAAGCATACCTACTGGAACACAGAGTGGTACTGAACAGAGATTTTGTAAATCAGGTTTAAGGACTCCATGACAAACGTTGTGGGCCATAGAGAAACCGAGAAGGGTCTTCAGCTGGGTTTACTGTACAGTGCCCCTGAAGCCCTGAAGATCGGTTTGGTGGATGAGCTTGTTCCTGAGGATAAAGTTCTCAGCGCCGCTACTGAAAACATGAAGAAATGGTTGGCCATCCCAGGTAAATGGTATTAGCTTGCTCCAAAATATGATATCTTTGCCTGTTATAGTACATTTTGTTCACGTACAGTGTTTTTTTCCTACAGATCATGCCCGTCAGATAAGTAAGTCCATGATGAGAAAACCCACAATAGACAAACTTCTTGCAAACAGAGAAGCCGACACCACAAACTTTGTCAGTTTCATCACCAAAGACTCCATCCAGAAATCTCTTGGGGTGTACATGGAGATGCTGAAGAAGAGGAGGTCTTGAGAACCGAAACACGTGCCTGTTGTTGTTGAAGTTGCCTTTATGGAGTGCATCAGTGTCGCTGTATATCACACTGTCCTCTCTTTTGTTACTAGAGGGTAACTTTGTTTGTAAATAAAATCTTTTAAAACCAAAATGGAATGGAATCTTTTTAGCATGCAAATAGTAGACATATAGCTTATCCATAACTTTTTTTAAATTCAACATCAAGGTTTTAGATAAAAATTTTACATACAGTATATGGATAAGGAAAAGTGTATAGGTTAAGTAAATGGTAAAAATTTCTTTTAAGTATTTCTCTATTTTTAATCAACTTTTGACTTTACTAGTTCATTTTAAATGGTCTTTAGTTTTAGTTTAAAAAAATGCATTGACACTTTATTTTACAGTGTCCTTGTTACACGTTACATGCCCATACTATAGTAATAACAGTAAATTATGCGTAATTACAAGCAACTAACCATAAACCAAACCCTACAGTAAATATGTTATTAATTAATATTACTCAGTACTTATTTGTGTAACAAGAACACCCTAAAATGTAACCAAAAATACAAATATTCTATATTTAATTTTATTCTAAAAGTTTATTGAGATTATTGGATATTGGTTATACTATTGATTATATATTTCAGTTTTTCAAAAAAAAATTACATTTAATTCAACATGCCATTTCTTTGTAGTTATGCAATTTACTTTCTGAGTAAAAATTGTTTCTACACCATTTTTTTCAGTGTAAGTTCTTAATGGGGTAATACAACTGCATTATGCTATAGAATTATTGCGTAATTGTAGAAAATGATTCATTTTTTTTATTTTCGTCAAGTCTAAGACAGCACTACACATCAAGCATTAGAATTGCAGTGTATATCTGCTGCAAAGGAAATCAAGAATATCTTGACTTCTCTTGAATAATTCCCTACTATACTACCATATGCAGAAATCATAGATAATATTGCAGAATATTCAAAATACTCTGCAGAAATTATTGGGTTTTTCTGTTTTTACAGAATAAAATTTCTTGAAGAAAGTTAATAAATGCCACAGGAAACTTGCATGTGCATTATGTAATGTCTTTATGAGGGAGACAAATGCTGAATCTTCATTAACTGTGAGCTAGTCAGCAATAGGAAGACAAATATGAGAGAGCACAAAAGATTAGCTGAAAGCTTTTTTTGTGAATTTTCATTTTTGACAACTCTGTGATTCCACAGTCAAAATATAAGATGTATTTGATCAAATTAAATCCTTAAAAAAAATGTCAAAATATTCCCACATTTTGTATATTTTCTCAAATTCATATTATGACAAACAAAACTGAAATAGAAATAAAAAAGTTTCAAGGATAAGTTAATATTTGTTAACTAAGAGATTATAAGACAAACCACAGGAGAGAGTAACATGCATTTTGTTATATCCTATCGCTTCGATTCCCTGAATAATTGACTCACCAGCCACACAATGTTACTGTTTGCAGGCCACAGTGTTGCCATGTCCGCCTTTTAAAGTGTCTTTAGATTTGTGATCTCTATCATAGGTTCACTTCAATGCTGTGAAGCGGTCGCTATGTGAACACCTTCGGTCTGATGAATGTCTGAAACCCTTATACCATCATGCCATTTTATTGGCCAGTAGTGTATAGCACCGCCCCAAAAATACATCACGTATGCTCCATATCAGCATGCTGCAAGCTATTTCATCAAATTTCATTTCCTTCAGGAGGTGAATCTTCTGTTGCCCATTGGAAAGAGATTCTTGTGTTCTAAGCCAACTATTTTAGAGCAGTATAATGTTACTCCTCTATGGCGGACACGACTTTTCTGAAAGTGTTGGATGATAGGTGAGTGGGAAAATGCTTATAGTGGCCTATGTTGT